GTTTGATTGGGTTAAGATTATCTGAGATAAATATACAAACATTATGACTTAATATAAAGTAATACAACTATGCTTAAATAAGTTTAGAAGAGCCGATAAAGTATTATCATGACGATAACAACATAAAGAAGAAAGTGGTGATTTGAACTAATACGAAAATTTTATTATTTATATAATACTTAGTAGATTAATTTCATACATCAAATATAAACATTATTTATTTCGGTATATTCTTTTCAAACATAAAATTCTTTGAAGTATCTATTGAAATCGGAATGAAATAACACCTTAGAATTGCGTAAGGAGAAGATCTTCCTAAATATTCCTTTGAAACTTCGAAATATTTTCAACCCCAAGTTGTTTCTAAATTTGTACTCACTGAAAAAAAATTCAAACTTTTTGGCACAATTTTCTGTTGCTCTTTTATGAAAAAAAAAAAAAAAAAAAATTTGATTCACTTGATTTTTTAAAATATTTAAATGAGAAGCTTACAATTGAGTAGGTCGATGTCACCTTTAAAAATAGAGATAGGTCTCAAGAGCATGATCGGATGTGTTTGCATTTGCATGGCCCCTTATAGTGAGGCCACTTAGTATTCTTTAAAATACTTCACTCTTGTGCCATATCATCATTTTAAATTATTTTATATTTGTTTTTATTTTCTCTAAATTTCAGTATTTCATATTTAAACACTTAAGACTATGATTGTATTTTTCAGAGAAGATGATGTTTAAATGTTTTCGACATTTATATTATAGTTGATGTTTTCTTTTAAAAGTTATATTTTCGCATTAGAGATAAATATGAGACGTTGGTAGCGACTCTGAGTACGTAGAAATTTAGGGTCGTTACAATGCTACTTGAAACGTATGAAACCTTGGGTATAGTAATTCAGGCCATATCACAAGGAACACATAAAATCCTAGATGCGAGATCAGACTACATTGCTTGGAACGTAAGAAGTTTTAGATGTAGATTTTCAGACTACGTTGCTTCGAACGTAAGAAACTTTGAACATAGGTATTCAAACTATAGTGTTTGGAATGCATGAAACCTTGAGCGCATAGGTTTCAGAACATATCGTAGGGACAAGAACTAAACTGCTATTGTGTGTGAAATAAACTCACTCTTAGAGGAGAAAGAAACTACATAAATAGTTTAGTTGAAGATCAACACCACTAAAGAGTGGGGTAACAGATAAGGGATTCCTAAACGAGACCCAACTTCTTTTTTTTTTTTCTTATTAGAACAAGTACCACCTAAGATAAGAGAATGTCCGAGAGCTACGCTATCACAGAAAAAGAAGTCGTTTCGGAGCGTTAGTCCGTTTTATATTTTGGATCTTTTGTATTTCATTTTGTAACTATATCCCAAACCCCTTTTAACCGTCCATTTTATAATTTGATTTTATTTTATATTTAATTTTGGTATGGTTTATTTTTATTTTATTTTGAATCTCAATCAAAAATTTATTTAAGTTGAGATAGCAACATTGGAATTCACAATAGAAAGCGAAAAAGCAATTGGGGAGTGAGCAATTTGGAGATTCCATAGAACATTTTAAATGCAAAATCAATGGTGGCAAAGAAGGAACACACCCATTGACTTTAAACCTCATCACCTTCTTTTAGTCTCAATTCTTGGCTCACATACCTCAACATTCTTCCACCATTCAAAGTGCCCAAACTTTTCCTCATCCATTCTTTCTTTAATTCTTCTCACGATTTTGCATTTCATCCATGGTTAACGTAGTTATTAAGTTTTAAGATTTAAGGGTGTGGAAATATAGGTTGTAGGAACAAACGAATTATTTCTTATAAGGGTGTAGAAACATCTCTCTAATAGACGTGTTTTAAAAACGTGAGATTGACAATAATAGTAACACGCCAAAGCCGACATCGAGCGTTGTGTCGACAAAGATTCTAGACACCCAAAGAAGGTAGATTTGGAGTAGGAATGTGGAAGATATATTTTAAAACTGTGAAATTGACCGCTAATTGATTATCAAATATAGTCTCGATTCTTGAAACAAAAGCATCTTATGGAACACAAAGTTAATATGAAATGAAGAAAAAGTGAAGATGAGAATGTGCTTAGTAATATCAACCATTGATCCATTTGGGAATATGCTCTAAATTTATAGCTTTCTCTTTCCATCGTCCAAGATTTAAATATCCAAACTTTTTCTCCTTGACAATTGGGCCACCAAAAGTTCAAGTCCACCCAATTTTAATTTTTGCAGTTGTTGTACGAAATAGGAGTCCTGCTTAATTAATTACCAATTAACATAATATTTTTGTTAATTCTAGTATTTTCAGATTAATTGGGTAAATTAGGACTTAATTAAGCATGTTTATTGAAAAACTTAGAATCAAAATTATATTTGTATTTTATTAATGCCAAAGCCGTGGGTAAACTAAATTCTAGGGCACGCTATTCAATGTATTTTGGTTTATTTCACCACAAAATTTTCCTAAGTTTTTCGTGTATATAAATGAAATTGATAATATAGAAGTTTGATCTGATTTATAAATATATTTTTGCTAAGTCTGAGAAAAATTTGTTTCCTCGACTAATCAAAGTTAAAGTCAAAGTCAAAGTCAAAGAAATTGAGTCGGTAAATAGGATAAAACTCACCAATTTTAATTTTAAAAAAACTAACTGGAATATTGTAATTTCTTTTAATATATTTATTTTGATATTAGAATCAGTTCTGAAAATATTATTTGATAATTATTTTACAAAAGTTTTATTTGAGGAAATTGAAAGTGCAGGGTAAATTTTGTCTTCTTATGCCAAATTAGGATTAATATTGAATTTTTCCAAATGTGAAATTCCATCATTCATTGGAATAGAGAATTCAATTGGAACTTCTCCTTGTGTCTCGGAAGAAACCATTTATATTAAAAAGGAAATAATTATTTTTTGTTTAAATTACCTAAAGCATAAATAAATAAAAGGTATATCATAATTACAGTCAAATCAAAGTATTATTATAAATCAACTAAAATAAATAAGAATTATTAAAAATATTCTAAATAAATGTCAAATACACTGTTATTTATTTATTTCTTTCTACTTCAAACTGTAGATTGTAGTTGTTCCAACAAACCAAATTTTGGAATAGTCCAAACCTCCACTATTGATCTTTTACCTCTTAAAAGTATTTTTTTTAAAAATAAATTAATTAAAATTTAGTCTAAAAAATAATTATAAACTTTTAAAAGTTTTAATAATATATTTAACTTTCAAAATAGTTTCCAAACACTCTTAAACTAAAAAAAGAAAAAAATAATTAAAAAACGCACGGATAAAACTATTAATATTTTGTTTGAAATATCTTTTTAAGATTTCAAAAGTTTAAACAAAAATTCAAAAATATTATTTAAATTTCTTTTAAAAACTTCACAAATATTTTATAAGGGTTTAAAAACTTCAAAATACTTTTAAATTCTTTTTTAATAAATTCAAAAATATATTTTTTTTTTATCCTTAGTACAATATTTTAAAATTATTCTTGAATTTTTTAAACTAACATTAAAACATTTGTCGATAATCTATAAAGTATTGATAGATGACTTTCATCTTGACATTATGATTTTTTAAAAAAAAAAAAATTAAAGTTAGAAATTAATATTATTTAAAAAGTTTTGTGAGTATGTTTTAAATATAATAATAACGGTAAAGGTAAAAGTATTTTTAAATTATAAGCTTACAAGTATTTGTGATGACAAAGTGCAAACTTGAAAAATATTTTTTTAATTTAATTTAAAAAAAAATACTAACTTTCAATTTTCTTTTTAATATCCTTAATTTTTTTTTTTGAAAACTTAAAAAATACTTTTATATTTTTTAAAAAAAATTAAAATACTTTTTTTAGTTTGTATTATATTTTAACAATACTTAGTTGAAGTAATATTAATACCTTTCAATTTTTTTTTATTTATAAAAATTAAGTTTTTCTTAATGGTAGGGGACCATTTATATACATCCTAAAAATATTTTCCCTCTTCGCTTTTATTATTATTATTATTATTTGCTTTTCTCTCTCTCTAGCTTATTATTTACTCTTTTAATCCCATATTAACTTTTTTTTTTCTCATTTCTCTTTTTTCCCTCCTTAAATATAAAAAAATTGAAATAAAAACAGATATCTCTTCCGATCATTTCCAAATATAAATATAATAAATTTCAATTCTCAAATATAAATTTCATAATCTCCTTAATTTATTTCATTCTCAAGAAGCTAGAAGAAAAAAAAAATAATAATTATTGAGTCATAGGTTAAAGTAGACATAAAAAAGATATACTCTATAGATGGTAAAATGTCCTAAGAAATTTTTCAATTTTTTTTTTTTTGTAAAAGATTAAAGGTATTTATGATATTTTAAAAAATTCATGAGTATATTTAAAACCATTCATTCTAAATAATATTTTTTTAACGTTTTTTTTTTAAATTAAAGGTATTAATACAAAATTTAAAATATTTTTTAAATCCATGAATCTCAAAAATACTTTGTATTTTTTTAAAGTTAATAATAAATAAATAAATAAAAGTCCAATTTTACATTTTTATTTAAAAAATATTCATCGAATTTTTTTTTAAAAATACCCTCAACTAAAAAAATTTCAAAAATATTCTTACAATAAAAACATTTAATACTTAGTTTCAAAAATATCCTTTTAACTGATTTTTCAGAATTTTCATTAATATTAATTCTTTTAAAAGCTTCAAAATTACCTTTAGTGTAGTACCATGTTTCAAAAACAAAAAAACATTAAAAAAATTTAGATATAAGGGTATATTAATATTAAGAATTTTGGTGGACTGTAACCATGTTAAAAAAGATTATGAATATTTTTTTTATAATTAATTTAATGTAGTAAATCGAATCTTTTATAAATACGCCGAAAAAGAGAGATTTTATTTTGATTGGGTTCTGTTCCTTTTTTTAAATCCTCAGAACCACCGCGTCCGCCTTCTCCCTTTATAAATCCCCATTTTCCCTCTCTTTCCCCCCGTCTAAACCCTATCTTTCACTTCTCTCTCTTCTGTAATCTGTATCGCTTCCACTATTCTCCGCCACGCGTTCCCACCTACATCTTTGCCTTCTTCCCAATCCCTTCATCACCCTCCATTTTGATTCTCCTCCATGAAACCCCTCTTCCGATTTCGATTGCCTTCCCATTTCTGCCTCACAACTCACTACTGAGCTTCCCCATCCGTTTCTTTTTTCCGATTTCATTCACCATAATGGCCATTCCTTATCTCCCCAAATTCATCGCCTCCGACACCTCTTCCATGGTCGGGCCTCTCCTCGCTCCCTCTTCTGCGCCTCTTTCTCCGCCTATTTTCACTCAGGATGATTTCAAGAAGGCTGCCGCCTACAAGGCTGTCGAATTCGTTCACTCCGGTATGGTTTTAGGGCTCGGAACCGGCTCCACTGCCAGGCACGCTGTCGACCGGATCGGCGACCTTCTCCGACAGGGGAAGCTCAAGGACATCGTCGGAATACCTACCTCCAAAAAGACCTACGACCAAGCCGTCTCGTTGGGAATACCTTTGTCCGATCTCGATTCGCATCCTGTCATCGATCTCGCCATCGACGGCGCCGATGAGGTCGATCCCGATCTTAATTTGGTGAAAGGCAGAGGCGGCTCCCTCCTCCGTGAGAAGATGGTCGAATGTGTTTGTAAAAAGTTCATAGTCATTGTCGACGAGTCCAAGCTCGTCGACTTCATTGGCGGCAGTGGTCTCGCAATGCCCGTCGAGGTTGTGCCCTATTGCTGGAAATTCACCGCCGTTCGCCTTCAGAATCTCTTCAAGGACTCCGGTTGCGTCACGAAGCTTCGAACCGTCGGAGAAAACGGAGAGCCCTATGTCACGGACAACGAGAACTACATCGTGGATTTATATTTCAATAAAGACATAGGGGATTTAAAGGTCGCCAGTGACAGAATCTTGCGACTCGCCGGAGTGGTGGAACACGGTATGTTTCTTGACATGGCTACCACCGTCATAGTTGCAGGTGAGCTAGGAATTACAATAAAGGATAAGCAATGAGAACAATAGCAACCCATTAGCGGGAGGAGCTTAGATTTGATCCATATGTTATAGAATTTCGATTTTATTGTTCACTCTGATAGATATTTATAGAAATTTGGAGAAATCTGCATCATAACCTTTGAGTCTCTAAGAGGAGAAGACCTTCGATTACACAGAATCGCTTTGATTACATAATCTACGTTGAAATGAAGAGTCAGAACCAAACAGAGTAGCTGTGGCTGTGAACATAACTGTCTTTGAGTTTACAACTTGTTTAGAAAGATTAGGTGAGTTGAGCAGTGTCCAATGTTTGAAGGTTATGTCATGTCATGTCAGATTTCAATAGCAATAACTTATAAAATCTGGCCATCATTCTCAGTTTTGGTGCTCTGATGACTGTTCTTCACTTCCTCCTCCTCCTCTTTGATTCAAATATTCAGCAACTTTGGATTAATCCAGCCTGTAACTTCAAATTCAGTTTACTTCTTTACAATTTGCAGCTCATCCAATTAGAAACAATTGCATTGATACAAAGAAAAGGAAAAAAAAATTACTTGTGGGGGAACCCAGGCCTGAAGAGTGTTGATGGGTCATTCCCGACTTGAACTAAACAAATTACAAAGCCCAATTCCTGGGCCCTATTTATTTAAACCAATCTTATTAATATTGTTTTATTAAATCCTTACAAATTTTGAAATACAAGCGGTAAATTGTAACATAATTAAAGTTTAGGTCAAGGGATAAATTATTTAATTTCAAAGAGTAATTTTTAAGGTAGAAAATTTTACAAGTTTATGTTCTAATTTAGATTTTGGTTATGGAAATGTTGAAAGAAACCAGAGTGAGAAATAAGAGAGGAAAGAATGAACTTGGACACCAATTCATCTTTCCCTTCAACTTAATCCATGTTTAATCATTTTTATATAATGCCTTGTTTGCAAAATTTCATGTAAATAATTAATAATTATTAATGGGATAGCAACAACTAAATAAAAGTAGCTTATGATTGGGTGATGATTAATGGAAGTCAAGAGTCAATAATGAAACATGTTTGGTTCAACCACACCTCCCTCCTCCATTTTGGGTATATGGATTTATGGTTTAGGTATTATTCTTCTAAAACCTCTTTTTCATAAAATAAAATTTAGTTTCTACTTTTTCTCTTTCCCGTTTGTATTTGTTAACCCAAAATGCCGATCAATTCATACTCTGATTATGTATGAAGTAGAGAATTCAAATCTTTAACATATTAATTAAAGCTAACTTACACCCGACCTTTTCTATCTAAGAGACACGTAACATATCTTTGTTTAGATAAAAACAAAATATTCATAAAATGATAATTATATAATTTTGGGTATTTGTCACCCTCATTTCTAATTAATGTACATTCTTTCTTTTGGAATTGAAACTTAATTTAAGAAATTTTGAATTTTTGGCCCACTGTATTTATTTTTCTCAAAAAAATCTATTTCATTACTAAATATTAATGGAGAGATAAAATATAACAACTCCTGGTTGGCATATAATTTTGTTAATTTAGGTGGTTTGTACTAGGTTTTTTAATTTTGTAAGGTTTAGTTATGTTAATTTAACTTTAAAATGTTTAATCATTTTATACTTTTAAAATTAAAATTGAAATTTGTATCTACAACATTCCGGAAAAATAAAACCTTTTTATTTTATTTTATTGAATTAAGGGTCTATAAAATTAAAAAAAAAAATAGAAATTACTTATTATATAACCTAATCTGTCATCGGAGAAAATCTAAAATATAAAATTCAGGTCTCATAATAAATTTTGCATTAGAAATGATTCAAAATGAGTAACAGAATCTCACCATTTCTTGATATTTTTCATCACGAAACATTAAAGAAAAGCATCGATTGGCTCATGCAATGATGATGCAGCCTATAAAACCACAAAACGGTGAGGTGAGGCAAAAATTAGAGCGAAACCAATCTCATGCCGCCCTCTCTCAACTCCTAAGATATGCGGATTAACGTATATGGGAAATGCACGCGAAGTGTTTGAAGAAATGCCAAGCTGAGAGAGATGCCCAAAACCCCATTTAATCTTCTTCCTTCCTTAAAACTCAGAGCAACATCGCAGGGCATAAAAAGGGTACCCGCTTTCTTTGCTTGTAGAAAATTCCATCCCCTTCTTCTAAGTTTCTTCCTCCTTTCTTTATTTGCTTCCCTTTTCTTATATTCTTCTTTCCTGTTTTTGATTCTTTCGTCTTTCTTCCTTCCTTTTCTCTTCTGCCTGTTTCTTCTCCTTTTCCTCTGTTTTCCTCTGTTTTCCTCCTCCTCCTTATAAACCTTTGCCTCTACTTTTTCCTGTATATCTTTCCTAATGTTGTCGGTGGGGTTTTAAAGAGGATCCTGTAGTCTTTTTTTTGTTGGGGTTTTTCTCATTTATCTTGTTTTGTTATTGCCCACATACATGTTGTTTAATCTCTAGGACTTGTGTTTTAGACCATAACCCATTAATTGGAAAGAATCAAAGGCTTGGTTTCTCATATCTCTATGCTGTTGGTCAGTTTAAATATTGTGAAATCAATTGTCCTGATCTTGAGAGTTTTTTAGTATGGGGGATCACTTTGTTTTGCTGGTTGATCGGTTGTTGACGGAGTCCACATTAGGAGCAGCAATCGAGAGTCGAAGGCAGTCGATGGAAGCAACATCGTCTTCTTCCACAGGTGATTTGAAGAGGAATAAGTCAACCTTAGAAATGGAGTTCGAAGATATACTTTCTTCAAAGAAAATGGTGGAATGTAGAATATGTCAGGATGAGGATGAAGACTCGAACATGGAAACGCCTTGCTCGTGCCGTGGTAGCCTTAAGGTTTGTTGATGAACTCATTTCTGATCATTGTATTGGTGATCTTCTTGTTGTGTTCTTCATGCCTTTGTGTTTGTGAACTTTGCACTTGATTCCAAATATGGAGCATAGAAACAAACTTCTTTGTATTTTTGGAAAGCAAGCTCATTGATATATGCCATAGTTGTCATTATAGTTCACTTCAGCAACACGGATACGTCATTCTAATGCACCATTATCTTGAAGTTTACATCTCCAACACAACTCTCAAGTTGTTAACTGTGCTGCTTTCTCGTGCCTATATCCATTATATTTCTCCATACCCAAAAATCTTGTGCCACAATAGTTTTCTCATGTAAGTTTTCTTGGCATGTTCCATTGGATTTTGCAGTACGCGCATCGAAGATGCATACAGAAGTGGTGTAATGAGAAGGGTAACACAGTTTGTGAAATATGCCAACAGGTGGAGTATGATGTTTTGTAGTTCTTTCCTCCGTAGTTTTTGTCACTTTTTCAAGCAGTTCATTATAATCTATAGTGTAACAGCCCAAGTCCACCGCTAGTAGATATTGTCCTTTTTGGTCTTTCCCTTTCGAGTTTTCCTTCAAAGTTATTAGAACGCGTTTGCTAGAGAGAGGTTTCCACACCCTTATGAAGAATGTTTCTTTCTCCTCCCCCCAACGTGGGATCTCACAATCCAGACACTGTGTGGTGTACCAACGAGGATGCTGAGCCTCGAAGGGGGTGGATTGTGAGATCCCACATTGATTGGGGGACAGGAATGAGTACCAGCAAAGATGTGGGGCTTCGAAGGGGATGAATTGTGTGATCCCAAATCGATTGGAGAGGGGAACGAGTACCAGTGAGGATGCTGGCTCCAAAGAGGAGTGAATTGTGAGATTCCACATCGGCTGGGGAGGAGAACGAAACATTTTTTTATAAGCGTGTGGTAACCTCTCTCTAACAGACGCGTTTTAAAAATCTTGAGGGAAAGCCCAAAAGGGAAAAGCCTAAAGAGAGGACAATATCTGCTAGCAATGGGCTTGGGCGGTTACATATAGCATAATTGTTGCTTTGCCCGAGAATATCAGTTTGTTTAATGCAGTTTGTACAATAAAACTGAACCATGGTACTATGGTTTTTCAGCAATTCAAGCCAGGCTACACGGCTCCTCCTTCGTTATTTGAAATGAGACGTATCCCAATGAACTTCAGGTAATGTTCTTGCTATAATTCTTCCAAAGTATGATCTTTCCACTTTAACTTGAGAATTTCGTGAAGTTCTTTGATTGAATCTGTTTTTCCTTGCAGGGGGAACTGGGAGATGTCTAGAAGGGACTCGGATAGTCCTACCTATATAACAGTGGTATCATCAAACCGTAATGTGGCTGATTCCGATTATGATGAGATAGCAGCTTCTGCTGCAAGCAGTGTCCTATGCTGTCATTCAATTGCTATCACCGTAAGTTCTCTTTCTCCCTTGAAGCGTTTGTGTTAGGAAAATATCAAAACCTGAAGCGTTTGTTTCGCTTTTCCTTTGTAGTTCATGGTTCTTCTCGTTTTGAGGCACACTCTTCCCCTCATGTTTAATGAAACCAGTGATTACTCTTTCCCTATGCTTCTGGTAAGAAATCTTATGTTCCATTTCTGTTTTTCAACAAATGCAAGACCCCCAAAACTTTTATCAGAAAGTTGAATTATACTCCCGTCTATAACAGTTGATATGCCTGCGAATTTTCGGGATCTGCCTACTGATATACGTTATGTTCAAAGTCGTCACTGCGGTACATCGTCATCGACTTCTCGTACGTGCCCGAAACAATCCAATGCATCCTCTCCTTTTACAGTTAACAAACATTTTCATCCTCTTAGTGATAATTCAAGTATGTTTATGGTTTCTTGTTTTTGGGTGACTATGATCAGCTGCCTACGTCTTCTAGCTCACCCATTAGTTCATCCAGCATAGCTCGGAGTTCGACGTCCCAATCGCCCCAACCTCAGCCTAACATTATCCGTGTTCGATGAGTTTTGTACAAGCTTGGAGAAACTCGATTTCAAGGCTGAAAAATGGTGTAGCTGTGGTTATCCTAATGCAAAAGGTTTCATGGCTGTGGCCTTTCCCAGCTTCAAGTGGAAAATCACATTGTAAAGGATAGAAGAGAGAATATTTATCAAGAAAAAAAAATGCTCTTAGATGTTTGAAATTGTTATGCAGTTTATTAAATCATTACTCTTTTGGAAATTCTCTGTACAGATAGAAAATACAAAATGAAAGATATCTGTATCTGTGTGTATATATATGATACGCGCTCCTCCATATCAGATATGACTCAATAGACATATTTTACCAACTTTAGTGGAAGGGGGAGATTATTAAGATTTATGCTTTAATCTTGGTAATTGATTTATTTTTAATAACTAATATTAATTTAGATGATTTTATTTGGCAAGAAAAAAACCCAAAACCCATGTTTATTATTGTAATCTTGAATGGGATGAAGTTGACATGAAAATATTATGTTTAAGTAATAATCTAAAATGTCTATAGTATATGGATAAGGTGGGATG